TTTCCTGGTTTTGGTATTAAGGTTATGCTTGCTTCATAAAATGAGTTAGGGAGGATTCCATCCTTTTCTATGTTTTGGAATACTTTGAGTAGGATCGGTACCTTAGGTCCATTTCTTCCCTAAGGGGATCAGAGTCCTCTTATTTGAAAGCTGAACAAGAGTTATAAGCAGAGAGAGAACATGAAGAGGCTGCCCCATAATTCCTGCAGATACAGTATACACTCATCCTCTCTTATAACAAAAGTTGGCAAAATCCTAAAGAAAGAAAGGCTGTCTTTCAGCCTAGTTTATAGAGAACAAAGATGCTGTTGTATGTGGGAGGACGTTGAGGATATATGACTTGATGAGGATATCAAACAAGCCTCTGATTATGATTACATGGCTTTCCTGGGCCATCACTGTCCCTAGGCTAGAGTACTCCAATAGATTCCTATCAGGTCTCCCAGCTTCTACCCATGCTCCCTGTCACCACACTAGTTCTCAACACCAGGTGGAAAGATCCTTTTAAAAGTCAGTCTGATTATGTCATTCTTCTGCTCCACATCCTCCAACAATATCCAATTTCACTCTCTCCCATGGCCTACAAGGTCCTCCATCTTCCTCCCAGTATCTCTGAATTTCATCCACTTTTCCTTCTCTCTTTCCTCAGTTCCAGACACATTGATCTCCTAGCAGCTCCTCAAACACACTAGGCATACTCCCTACTTTAGAACTTCTGACTTGTTGCTCTTCCTTCCGTGCTTGCTCCTCCCCCAACATTGCCAATCCTTACCTTGATGTATATATTGTTTTTTCCGTAGTACTTACCATCTTCAAACACATAATTTATAATTTATTGTTAGGGTAATTGTCTGCCTACTCAGTTAGAACATAAACTCCAATTTTATTCATAAATGTAGCTCAAGTGCCTGGAAGCAGCACTCAATACTTTTATCTAGTAAATAAATGAATGGTTCCTCTTGGCCCCTCCTCATCTCCAACTGTTCCCTTTTGAGCTTTATTCGAAAGGTACTAGTGTCCTGTGAGACATCAACTGGTTATAAGAACAAGACAGACTTGTTGCAAATCCTAGCTGTATCACTCACTAGACTGGATGAGCAGACACATAATCTCCCTGTTCCTTATTTTCCTCAGTTAGGAAATGGAATTAATAGTAGTACCTACTCATTATGCAGTGGTAGAAATAAAAGAGTTAATGTATACAGAGCACTTAAGGCAGTGCCTGACATGTAATATGCTCAATAAATACTAGCTATTCAGACTAGGCAATCTACTTCCGTAAAGATTTTTCACTGTCTAGGAAATGCAATAGGGGTCACTGTGAGTTGGAATCGACTTGACAGCAGTGAGTTTGGCTTGGGTTTTACTATTATTATTATTATACAAGTCTGATTAGTCACTTCCTGCTTCAAACTCTCCAATGGTCCTTAAAGTTAAAATCTAAACAGAATGATCTCCCACCTCTCTGACTCTGTAACTTCTCCTCTTTATCCATGCTACCTTACCTTTTGGTCACTGTGCTCTAATCAATCCAATCTTTTCCATGACCTCAATCAAGGCGCATCTCTGCTTCAGAATCATTCTATATAAAAATTCTGAAATATATTCTATGGCCTGAGAGGGAAGCAAAGATGCTAAAGTCATTTTCTTAGGGCTAGGGCAGACAGATTTCTTTTTGGAATTATTAATTAAAAGTCAAACTTTTTCTATAAAGGGCCTGATAGTAAATATTTTTGGCTTTGTGAACCATTTGGTATTTGTTACAACAATTCAAATCTCCCCTCATAGCATAAAAATGGCCACAGATAGTATATAAACAAATTGGTGTGGCTGTGTTCTAATAAAACTTTATTTACAAAAGCTGGCAGCAGGGTATATTAAGCTCATGGGTGTACTCTCTGAACCCTGCTCTAAACCTCCCCATTATGGAACTGTGTTCCCAAAAAATATGTGCTGTAAATCGTAACCCCTATACCTTTGGATGTAATCCCATTTGGGAATAGGATTTTGTTTCATTAATGAGGACATACCAGTCTGAGGTATGTTCTAAGGCAATAACTTTCTACATATAAAAGGTGTAGATCAGGCACAGAAGCAAGGAGGTACCAGGGGAGGAAGAGAGATGACCTGTCACTTGAAGATCACCAAAGAACTGAGGAACAAAAGTAAAAATCTTCCCCCAGAGCCAACAGACAGCCTTCCCCTATAGTTGTTGTTGTTGTTGTTATGTGCCGTCGAGTCAGCCCTGACTCATAGTAGGTACCCTGAATTCAGACTTCTAACCTCCTACACTATGAGAAAGGAGACATGGTAGCATGATGGTTAAGCATTCAGCTGCTAACCAACAGGTTGGCAGTTCAAACCTGCCGGCCACTCCATGAGACAAAAGAGCTAGTGATCTATTCCCAAAAAGACTACAGCCGAAGAAAACCTGTGGCGCAGTTATGCTCTGTCCTGGAGGCTCACTGTGAGTTGGAATCCAGCACACAACAAAAACAAAGGGTGAGAAAATAAATTTCTGTTCTTTAAAGCCACCCACTGTGGTATTTCTGATATAGCAGCACTAAGTAAAATATTCCCTCTTCACCTAACCAACCCCTACTCATTCTTTAATCCTCAACCTAACTGTCACATTCTCTGAGAAGCTTTCCCTAATACCCTGATAAGGCTAAATTTCCCTCTTATTACTATTACATCACCCTTTGAAACCCTTATCACAATCTTTCATTGTCTTATTATTTAATTGTTCATTTGTATGTTCTCCTTTCCAGAGTATGGGCTCCACAAGACAGAGACCATGTCTATTTTATCTCTGTAGTATGCTAAGTGTTGGAGCAGTAAAAGAAGTAACACTTCAAATAAAAAAGAAGCTGACCTCTAAGAATGTGTCCTACTAAAATAGATATTCACCTCAATTAAAAATATTCTATGGCCTAAGAGGGAAGCAAAGATACTAAAGTCATTTTCTTAGGGCTAGGGACAGACATGTTTATTAAAACTCAGCATTATAGACAAAGATCTACAGTACCTGATGGACATAATATTCGAGATCAAAGAGCGCAGCAATCTTCTCTTCCAGGCTGGAGCTGGAACTATTGAATTTGTTGATCAGCCGCACCATGATCTGCATGTCAGTCTCAATGACAACATTCAGCTCAGCAAAGTCCTTCTTCAGCTCTTCAATGGGACGGAACAACTGCTTTACCTCATCTTGCCTTGCCTAAGGAGAGCAACAAAGAGATGATTCACCAAATAGATGGCAAATAATTCTACATAGTTGCCCATCTTCAAACAAAGAACTACTGCTCTAGGACTCATAATCATCTTTAACCTGTACCTACTATGATGCCCAGAGAAGACAGCCCTCACAGCTTACCCATATAGACCTCTGCTCCAGAAACACACTCAAGATTTTCCAATGTCCATTTATTCTAGTTCCACTTTCAATGTTCAGGAAGTATGAAAAGTCTTATTATAATCACTGACATCAGGGGAAATAACATAAACTCACTTTCAACATCTTACCTCACATGGGACAGCTGCAGTGTGAAGTGGAATAATCCATTCCCTGGTTCTCTAACTTTCACATTCATGGAATATCTTGCCCTTGCCCTGCCTAACCTGTTGTTGTTAGGTGCCATCAAGTTGTCTCTGACTCATAATGATCCTATGCACAGCAGAACAAAACATGGTCCAGCCCCGCGCCAGCTCCACAATCCTTGCTATACTTGAGCCCATCCCCACAGCCACTGTGTCAATCCATCTCGTTGAGGGCCTTCCCTTCTTTCATCAACCCTCCACCTTACCAAGCATGACATCCTTCTCCAGGGAATGGTCCCTTCTGACAACATGACCAAAGTAGGTGAGACGAAATCTGGCCATTCTTGCTTCCAAGGAGCATTTCAGCTCTACTTCTTCCAGGACAGGTTTGTTAGTTCTTTTAGCAGTCCATGGTACTTTCAGCATTCTTCACCAGCACCACAACACAAAAGCATCAAATTTTCATTGGTTTTCCATATTCATTGTCCAGCTCTCACATGCATATGAGGCGATTGAAAGTATCATGGCTTGTATCAGGCGCACCTTAGTCCTTCAAGGAGACATCTTTGCTCCTCAGTACTTGAAAGAGGTCCTTTGTAGCCAACTTGCCCAGTGCTATATGTTATCTAATGTCCTGACTGCTGCTTCCATTGGTGTCAATTGTAGAAATAAGCAATGTGAAGTCTTTGACAATTTCAACCTTTTCTCAATTTATTGTGATGCTGCTTATTGGCGCAGTTGTGAGGATTTTTATTTTATTTATATTGAGATGTAATCCATACTGCAGATTGTATTCTTCAATCTTCATCAGTAAGTACTTCAAGTCATCTTCACTCTCAGCAAAGTTGTGTCATCAGTGGATTGCAGATTGTTAATGATTCCCTCCAATCTTGATGCCATGTTCTTCTTCATATAATCTAGTTTCTCAGATTATTTGCTTACTATATAGATTGAATAAGTATTGGGAAAGGATACAGCCTTGACGCACTCTCTTCTTGATTTTAAACCATGCAGTGTCCCCTTGTTCTGTTCAAACGACAGCATCCTGATCTCTGTATAGGTTCCTGATGAGTACAATTAAGTGTTCTGGAATTCCCCTTCTTCTCAATGTTGTCCACAATTTGTTATGATCAACACAATCAAATGCTTTTGCATAGTCAACAAAACACAGGTAAACATCTTTCTGGTATTTTTTGCTTCAGCCAAGATCCACTTGACATCAGTAATGATATCCCTTGTTCCACATCCTCTTCTGAATCCAACTTGCACTCTGGAAGTTCTCTGTCAATATACTGCAACAAGTTTTTGAATTATCTTCAGTAAGATTTTACTTGTGTGTGATATTAATGATATTTTTTGATAATTTCCACATTCTATGGGATCACCTTTCTTTGGAATAGGTACAAATATGGATCTCTTCCAGTCAATGGCCAGTGCAGCTTAGCAAATTACATAGTGTGGCTTTTCTAGCTATAAGTCTTTGTAAACTCCGTGGTGGGATTTGCTGTAAGCAAATGAGTAGCTCTTGACTGTTAAAGTTACCCACCTGGGGTATTTCTGCTAGGAGCAGCATGAAGTAATTTGCTGGGAAGTTCGCTCTCTCTCAGGTGTATAGAATTCTGATGTTGGGATTGTTTAGTCTGGTCACTCTGACAGGCTCAAAAGGAGTCCTCCTACAGGCGGTAGGAATCTCTCACTGCCAGCTGGGAGACATGAGAGACATGGGTTGCTGAGAGAGAGAGACTGAGAGACACACGCTGCTGAGAGAGTGACTGAGAGACACGTGCTGCTGGGAGACTGACAGACATGCACTGCTGGGACAGAGACTGAGAGACATGTGCTGCTGGGAGAGAGACTGAGAGACACACTACTGGGACAGAGACTGAGAGACACACACTGCTGGGACAGAGACTGAGAGGGACTGCCAGCTGAGAGACAGCAGACTGAGAGATTGAGCATGTTCCTGAATTTGAATTGTAGCCATTGCTTCTCTAATAAACCCCATAATCTGTGAGTTGTGTGTGGCCACTGCAGCGAATTCTCGAACCCAGCAGAGAGGTAGTGGGTGCTGCAGGAGGAAGGCTGGTGTCAGGGTTGGTGGAAGGGCTGGAGGGAGGTGGCATGTCTGGCTTCACAGGGATAGCCCTTGGGCTACTGATGGTGATTCTTCTGTCTTCCTCTTGTGGGGCTAGAGGAGGTCAGAAGATGTGGCCTCCTTGCCCCTTTAACAGCCAGGTAGCTGTTCCAAACCTCTTGGCATAACCAAATGAGTGCCTCCAGTGGGGCATCCGTTTGTTGAAACATCTCAATGGGTATTCCATCAATTCCTGGAGCCTTCTTCTTCACCAGTTCTTTCAGTGCAGCTCTGACTTCTTCCTTCCACACCATCAGTTCTTGATCATATGCCACCTCCTGAAATAGATGAACATTGAACAATTCTTTTTGGTACAGTGACTCCATGTATTCCTTCCATCTTCTTTTGATGTTTCCTGCATCATCCAATATTTTACCCATAGAATCTTTGAATATTACAACTCGAGGCTTCAATTTTTTCCTCAGTTCTTTCAGCTTGAGAAATGCCAAGAGTGTTCTTCCCTTTTGGTTTTCTAACTCCAGGTCTTTGCACATTTCATTACAGTAATTGGCTTTGTCTGCTCAAGCTGCTCTTTGAAATCTTCTGTTCAGCTTTTTTATCTTGTTATTTCTTACATTTGCTTTAGCTACTCTTTGCTTAAGGGCAAGTTTCAGAGTCTCTTCTGACATCCATTTTGGTCTTTTCTTCCTTTCTTGTCTTTTTAATGGCCTCTTGCTTTCTTCATAGATGATGTTCTTGATGTCATCCCACAATTCTTCAGGTTTTTGGTCACTGGTGTTCAATCCATCAAATGTGTTCTTTAGATGGTCTCTAAATGTAGGAGGGATATAGTCAAGGTCATATTTTGTCTCTTGCCTAACCTAGCCACATATTAGGGAAAACTGGATGTAGGAAGCTGTGGGTAAAGAGCTGTCAGAGCAGGAGCAATTTACTGATGAAAATTAAATCACTGTCATTACTGTCAATCTAACCAAAGGTGTACAATTTGTTCAACTGTTTGAAATGGCTAAATTACTGTATGTACTGTATATAATTTTCTCTCAAATCCTCCCCACCCCACACACATACAAAGATTTTTAAAATGAAGTTATGATGGAAATGAATAAAGGGTTTTAATTGGATATTTTACACATGTTTATATACACTCTCTTTTCTTCCTAGTTTTAGAGGATAGTGCTTACAAAGACAGTCTGAAAGGTTACAGTGGTTCCTGTCTCTACCTTCCAAGAAAGATTAAAAGGCATGGATATTTATAAAAAGCAGGATGATGACCAGCTGTCAGCTCCAAATTGCTCATCCATTACCTATACATTTCTCTGCCTAGTTCCAAGCACTCCATAGAAACATCATCCAAAGAAATGAATCAGCCTATCTTAAAAAAAGATACGCTCTTAGCAGAGCAATTGCACCTATGGGGTACCACATTCTTTCTACTTCTTTGAACTAACACAACAGTGAAATGTTCTCCCTGCACCCAGCTAGAGGAACCTGGATGGTTGACAGAGGCTAGGCAAACAGGTCTGGGAAGGCTGAGTCACTGTCTAGATTTGTAGAATGAAATGAAAGTGAGCAGGATAAGAAACTCACCACCTCTGCCTTACAAAAACAGCATGTACCTGGCCCTCAGAAAAAACTTCTTTAAAGTTTCAAAAAAAAAAAACTTTCCTTTTGAAGTAATTATAAACTCACAGGAAGTTATAAAAATACATTATATAGGGTATATCATGTACTTTTCATACAGCTTCCCTCAATGGTTACATCCTACATAATGATAGTGCAGTATCAAAACCAAAAAACTGAAACAAGTACAATCCTATTAACCAGACCACAGGCCTTACTCAGATTTCACCAGTTTTCACACATATTCATTTGTATATGTGTATAGTTCTATAAAATTTTATCCAATATTAGATTCATATGAACACCAAATCTATCAAAATACAGAACTGTTTTTATCACTATCACAGAACTTACTGTGCTCCTCTTTTACAGGTACACCTCATCCTCTCACCCTACCTTCCATTCCTGTATTCTCCATCTCTATAATTCCAACATTTGGGGAATGTTATATAAATGGAATCATATAGTATGTAACCTTTTGAGATGGGCTTTTTTCACTGAGATACATCCAAGTTTATGCACATAACAATACTTCATTTCTTCTAACGCTGAGTAGTACTCCATTATCGGAAGGAAGGTTGGGTAATCTACTTCTGTAGTGATACTGCTCCTCAGAAACCCAAAGAGAGGTCGCTATATGTTGGATCCCGACTCAATGGCAGTGTGTTTGGGTTTTTTGGTTTAGTACTCCATCAAGGAGCTCTGGTGGCATAGTGCGTAAGTCATTTGAGTGCCAACCTGAAAGTTGGTAGTTCAAACTCACCAGTCACCCCACAGAAGGAAGAATGGGCAATCTACTTCCATAAAGATTTACCGCCTCGGAAACCCAAAGGGGGTTGCTATGAGTCATAAGTGACTCAATGAGAGTGAGTTTGGTTTTTGGTTTAGTATTCCACCATACAGATGTGCCATAGGTGGTTTAACTATGCATCTGCTGAAGAACGTATGAGTTGTTTCCAGGTTTT